AATCATCCACACTCGAAACAACGGACACAGACAACAATACGCACTACAATGCAGTCGCATGCATCGAACAGCCAAGACACTTAAAGACTAAAGAGTTAGGAAACTTATTCAGTCCAAAGACCTTGGAACAAAAGTCTGAATGATACTCTTCCGAGAATCACTCACTCAAAGTCCAGCATTGTTGTCGTTCCGCTGCCCCCGAAGTTTCTCTTCCAGGAAACCTCACGTCTTCAATTGGCCACTCTCCAAGCTTCAAACTTCTTCGCCGGAAACACGTCGGCTTCACACACGCAGCTGCTGCCACACGTCTTCGCTCGATAGCGGTAGACACACACTCTTGCCTGTAGCTCGAGTCTTCACCCCAGGTGGAAATCCTTTTCTTCTCTACTTCCTTCTTCTCCTCCTCTGTCACGGAAAACAAAAGGCTTCGCCCACAAGGCGGTACACCCTACGCACTCTGGCGCATACTTTCTTCTTCTCCTGCTTTGTCACTAAGGACAAAACCTTCACCGACAGACGCGGCGGAATTACGTACGCACTCCGGCGTTAACTTCCTTCTTCTCCTGATCTCCCATCTCCGCTGCTCGGTTAAATACCTTCCGCGCGCTATTCCAGAAAGTTCTCATCATTTCGTCGGCGCGATACGCAGCGAAGGCTGGGGAAAGGGCGAGACGGTACGAGGGCCGTCCGCGACGGATGACGCAACCCTGCATCACCACGCCCCTTTCCATCTAGAACGTTCCAAGGCTTGCTCGGGCACCGATGAGAGGAGGTTCGTCGGCGAATCCACGCTTCCGAGGGGAGAGGGGCACGCGCCCGGGGAGTCTTTGGATGCTTGTTTTCTTCCTTTTTTTATCGTTAACCTCGCGGCGTCACTCCGGCGTTTCGTCACGAGAATTTGGCGGCGCGCCCTTTTTGAGCGCTCGTTTTGTGACACTGCCCCCCGTTTTAAGAATATTATCTCATAATATTCAAAACCACACAAACGAGCGCGAACAGTCCCCACATTCTCAAAGACTGTAACATAGTCCGTTGCTCATGACACGTCACATTCACAATAGATCACTCAATACAATTGTACATTGTAATTCAATCTCACAACACGTGAAATGTAACCACAGGTACATGAGTACAACACTCCACCACATATTCCAAACAATACAAATGTACAGAGTTTTCTCATTACAACAATTGTACAATTTTATACATCACGTCACAGCACAAACACTTCGACACTTTTGACATAGGATAACACAATAACAACACAGCCAAACGCATTCCGATTTGACCTCAGCACCTATCCCAAGTACTTCGAGCTGCGCTTGCGCCCTTTCTTGCGGTGCTCGCTGGATCTTTTCTTGTTTTTCCTCGTTTTGTTCCGACGAGCCCTTTCCACCGATGGTATCTGAGGCGGCGTCTAAGCCATTGTTGTAACTTCCGGCATTGTTAGCGGGTCATGACGCTCAACCGATCCTGTCCGGTTATTCACCCGCTTGTTCATGTCCCGACATATGGACTGGCTGGCCGATTCCGTCATCTTTACATTGTCGGTCAGTTGAGGTCGAGCCGACGTAAGTCCAGCTGCCCAGCACGTAAACTCATTCAATACGATCATGTTCTAATTCGCTGTCTCTTGCGCCCAGGCTTCACCTTGGGCTCGAGTGAAATCCTTCACGGGATTTTTCTCCGCTGTATCTCGCGGCCCCTGTGTCGGCGGGGGCTCTATCTTCGGGTCTTCCCCCAAACGTTCTGGTTCGTTCGGCCCTCGCGCCCCGTCGATGTTTCCGATGACGAGGTCGTACAGGGGGGGGGGGGGTCGTCATGCATAGAGCGGTAACCTTCCCGCTGAAGTACGGGGTTTCAACCTCAATCTCTTCTTCGGGAAGCATCCGAACCGTACTGTCAATTAGGCAAACCGGTTTTGTTTTGCCTGTTAACTCACTTTCCCCCACCAAATTTCTTCGCACGATAACAGTGCAGCTACCGGTATCTCTTAACACCGTAACCTTTTTGCCCGCAACTTTTCCAGGGAGCGTTGGCATTCCCTTCGTAACACCGGTTGGCTGTTTTGTCATTACAGCATCCACAATAGGAAGTTTCTCCCCATTTTTCAACTCTACGAATCCGTTGGTGACGGCATACCCATCGGACTTTGGTGCTGCTAGCACACAGGATACTTGGTGAGTTTGACTCACTCCGTTACGACAAGCGTCTGCTTTGTGCCCAGTCTGACCACACTACAAACATTTTACGACCGTGGGACTCGTGAAGTTAGTTCGACAGCTGTTAGCGTGATTACCCACTCGGTTAAACAGAAAACATCGCGGAACACTCTCTGGTGCACGCTTCTTTTGTTCGGGTGCCGAAATTTGCGAATCTTCGGGACACTTCTTCTTGACCTTGGCCAAATTAGTTCCACCTTGCGCTTCCAAGAATTGATCAGCCAATTCAAGCATGCCTTCAAGTGACTCAGCCTTCCTCTCTTTCAAGTACAGCGACAGGTTTGGGTGGCAACTAGTAAGAAATTGCTCTCTAATGAGGAGCTCTCTAAGCTCATCGTACTCCAGCGCTGTCCCTGAAAGTTCAATCCATTTGTCGAAATAATGGCTAAGTCGGGCCGCATACTGCGTAGCCGTCTCACCATCAGCTGGCTTTCCTGTCCGAAATCTGTCCCGGAATCCTTCCACAGTAAATCTAAATCGCTTCAGTAAAGCAGTTTTCACCTTTGCACAGTTGGCTGCATCGGTCGGCGTCAGCCTACCGTACACACTGAGCGCTTCACCACTCAAGCAAGTACTCAAAGCAGTTGCCCATTGATGTTTCGGCCAATTCTGGCTCCTCGCAATTGTCTAAAATCAGTGAAAGTGCACTTCAAGGTCGTCCTTCCTTTCATCAAACACTACGAGAAGCTTGCTTGTGTTCAAGCGGAAGCCGTGTTCTTCCCGTTCGCTGCTTTCAACTCTAGCTTGGACCGGAGTTTCACTTCGCTGTTGCAAACGGAGCCGCTCGAGTTCTATCTGGTGCTGTCGCTGCCGTTCCCTTTCCTCTCTTTCTTCTTTCGCCCTCTCAGCTGCCAGTCCTTCTCTCTCCAGCTCCAACTTCAATTGCTGCTCTCTTTTTCTCTGGCCCTTTCGGCTGCCAACTTTTCTCTCTCCAGCTCCAACTTCAATTGCTGCTCTCTTTCTTCTTTCAGCTGCCGCTCCTTTGCCTCTCTTTCTTCTTTCGCCATTTCAGCGGCCAGCCTTTCTCTCTCCAACTCAGCTGCTTTTTCTTCCTTGGCCCTCTCAGCTGCCAACCTCTCTCGTTCCAACTCAGCTGCTTTTTCTTCCCTGGCCCTTTCAGCTGCCAACCTGTCTCGTTCCAACTCAGCTGCTTTTTCTTTCTTGGCCCTTTCAGCTTACCAACCTCTCTCGTTCTAACTCAGCTGCTTTTTCTTCCTTGGCTCTCTCAGCTGCCAACCTCTCTCTCTCTCCACCGCCTCTTTCTCCTTCTGGCTCACCCGCTTCCGTATTTCGGTGCCAGAAAGACATATCTTCTCACCAAGAGCTACTAACTTTTCGAGATCCATTTTGTCTCGCAAGTGAAGTCTTGCCGCGTGCAAAAAGTATCTGCCAAATCAGTTTATCGGAACACTCCACTGCACTCGTTAACGAGAACACTGAGCAACACACACAATTGTTCCGATAGCACTATACACAACTCGAGGCTCTTTACTTTGGACACACTGTGCACCAAAAGGTCCTGTCGTGGACGATAGATTAATTGTCACAGGTCCCGTTAATTAGGGAGGCGATTGCCGGGCTAATTCCAAGGGCCGAAGTATCGGCCCCCCGAACCGCACCACGAAAGCGTGGACAATTTCGAAGTGGTCCTATTTGGCGCGCCAGCGGACGCCGGCTGTGGCCCAAAGAACAAGTCAGAGCCGAGAGTTGATAAACAAAACAAATCTATATTCTCAATTATGGCAGATCAAAACAATACACAAGTATGCACACTCGACAATATTTGAATACGGTATGTCACCGATCAAACAATGTACTACACAGTACAATCAGCCACACTCGAAACAACGGACACAGACAACAATACGCACTACAATGCATTCGCATGCATCGAACAGCCAAGACACTTAAAGACTAAAGAGTTAAAAACTTATTCAGTCCAAAGTCCTTGGAACAAAAGTCTGAATGATGCTCTTCTGAGAATCACTCACTCAAAGTCCAGCGTTGTTGTCGTTCCGCTGCCCCCGAAGTTTCTCTTCCAGGAAACCTCACGTCTTCAATTGGCCACTCTCCAAGCTTCAAACTTCTTCGCCGGAAACACGTCGGCTTCTCACACGCAGCTGTTGCCACGCGTCTTCGCTCGATAGCGGTAGACACACACTCTTGCCTGTAGCTCGAGTCTTCACCCCTCAGGTGGAAATCCTTTTCTTCTCCACTTCCTTCTTCTCCTCCTCTGTCACGGAAGACAAAAGGCTTCGCCCACAAGGCGGTACACCCTACGCACTCTGGCGCATACTTTCTTTTTCTCCTGCTTTGTCACTAAGGACAAAACCTTCACCGACAGACGCGGCGGAATAACCTACGCACTCCGGCGTTAACTTCCTTCTTCTCCTGATATCTCATCTCCGCTGCTCGGTTAAATACCTTCCGCGCACTATTCCAGAAAGTTCTCATCATTTTGTCGGCGCGATACGCAGCGAAGGCTGGGGAAAGGGCGAGACGGTACGAGGGCCGTCCGCGACGGATGACGCAACCCTGCATCACCACGCCCCTTTCCATCTATAACGTTCCAGGGCTTGCTCGGGCGCCGATGAGAGGAGGTTTGTGGGCGAACCCACGCTTCCGAGGGGAGAGGGGCGCGCCCGGGGAGCCTTTGGATGCTTGTTTTCTTCCTTTTTTTATCGTTGACCTCGCGGCATCACTCCGGTGTTTCGTCGCGAGAATTAGGCGGCGCGCCCTTTTTGAGCGCTCGTTTTGTGACAGCTGCATAAACCATACCTTGGGGTAGGTCAATCGGGGCAGCGGCACTGGCGGGCAGGGTCGCGGGAACATGGCAGCCGATGGCTCCTCGAAGGGCGCGTTCTCCGGGTCACTACTGTAGCGAGCGAGAGTAGAGAGACGTGAGACGACGTCGAAGGTGACTGACGGAGCCGTGCTGATCTCGCCACTTATTTCAGGCCTGAAGTAGAGCCGCGGTGGCTGCCAGCATCCGACACGCAAGCCACTTGTGTTCGTTCTGTTCTCGTGCAGCTCGAGCTAGAATCAGCTGCGCTAAAGGCGCGGCGCGGTGGTCAGGAAATGATGATGATGATGATGGTGGTGGTGGTGGTGGTGGTGGTGGTGGCATTGCAAGTGCCCATAAATACGTACAAGTCTCTGGAGCAGAAAACAACGAGAACTCTGCCGTGACAGACTCGGTGTGCACTCCTACACCAGAAGAACTCTCACGTACATTGCTAACATTGTTGGTCAATACTGATACTTAACCACCTCATTTGAGACTGCAGGCGTGAACACCCCCCCCCCCTGATCTCCTGGCCGCTTCGTCATCTGAAGGTTGCGAAATATTTTTGAAAACCACCAGCCTTAGGGCAGAGGAGATGACCACCAGGGTCAGCCTAGTAGATCACCTGTGTAGAAAGTGACGTGAATAAGACATCTTTTAGATGCGGAGCATCTTATACTCGCGCCTTGTAGTGCGCCGTCCGCGCCGTCCGCACCGCTTCTCGAACATTCGACAGCTGACGCGCGCGCATGCGCCGTCGCGCCGTCGCCCACTCTTCCACCATCTGTGCATCCCTTCCTCCTCTACACACCGCGCGCGCTTCACTCCTCCACCATCTGTGCACCCTTCCTCCTCTACACACCGCGTTCGACATCTACAATTCTCCTGATTCTCCAGTGGACGCGCATGTGGCGTCCGCGCTTCGAGAACATTCAACAGCTGACAGTGCATGCGCCGTCGTGCTGTATATATACTCAAGGTCGGCGCTCGCTCGCTCAGTTGCCGCTCGTCGGTTGGTTTGTACGGCGCGTCGACGTCCAAGGTCGCGGTGAAATGAATTCCAACGAATCCACAAACACAATGATCGACGTCCCTTCGACCAGCGCCGCCCTTTCGCATACGTGTGTACGTGTTCACTCATTTAACACCCCCTCCTACAACCACGTTAACCAATTTAGCCATCGACCCAAGTAAGTCGCAATTTAACACCCCATTTGACAACCACGTAACCAATTTAGCCATCGACCCAAGCAAGTCGCGCTTTAACACCCCGTTAACCAATTATATGGTCCGCATCCTCCTCAGTGTTCCCCCGAGGGAAGCTGCGGGCAATTTTTTTTCTCTCTCTTTCTCTCCCTTGCTCATTTTTATGTCTTTACATTCTTTTTTGAGGTGTCTGCGACAGATGTAATCTCTTTAATTTAGGGGGGGGCGAATATTGCAGTTTCGTATTCCAGTCAAATAATGCCTCACCAAATACTTCGATTTGACTTTCGAACAGCCAGTATTAGAAGTTTTGAACAATTCGACAAGACCGAATCTAAAACGCGACGAAAGCAAATGCTGAAACTTGACTAGGGTGAGGTGGCTGAAACCAACGCTAACGCCATAACAGTAGATATTTAGTTAAAGCTTTCACCTATATTCTGGTTGAAAAGCGAGCAAACACTTATTTTGAAGGAGATGAATTTATTTCTGCACACACTGGCCTTATATTCAAGAGGCTCCAAGAAACTTTGTTAAGCACCTGATCCCAAAAAGCGTGATTCCTTGAAATTCTAGAAAAAGCCCGGAGCTTCTCATACTTTGACGAGATGTCGCTGAAATTACTTCGCGATACCTTCCCATGCCTGCTAATTAGGTGACCAATGAGCGCTTGTTTTCAACGGCACGAAGCACCGTAACATGGCGGTGAGAGAATCTGATAAAGGTGATGCGGAGCTGCTGTTTCGGTATGACAATTTGCAGCCTTTCGGTCCCACTCACTCACAGTTTGTGTGCTAAAAGACATACACAGATTTTGCTTTTTCGTTATTTCTTCAAATTTTTAATGAAATATTTTCTATTCGATTTGATATTCGATGTTTTTAGCCACTATGCGGCACTATTCACTTCGAATTCGAATAGATATAAAAATTTGCCTATTCGCGCAGCCCTATTTTGATTGTTCACGTACCTATGGGGAGAACGGTTTTGGGGTCATCAGTGCTGCTGTAGAATACACAACAATCTTTCATTCGAATCTTCCACACGAAGATCCCAGTGCAAGTTGATGCCCTGCGTCAGTTTCCAGAATGCGTTCGGTACTCATATGATCATATAAGACGTGATGGCCGGTCTCGGGTCGACTAGTCACTTAAGGTTTATAATCTATAGTCTTTAAGAACCTCAATTACAAAATGTCGCTTGCTTCATGAAGAACATAGTTAAACCAGACAGATTACCAGTAATGAAGTATAGTTAAATCCAAATATCTTATCCGGAACCTGCGTGAAATATTATCGTCGCTGCGCTGTTCTTTCAACAGGTTCCAATCTCCCAATTTCGAGGCATCAGCACTAAATCGCTATCTGAGAGGTGCCATTGGTTAATATATAAACAACAAAACAGGGAAATTAAGAACTCTGCCGACCGTGAACTCATTTACTGTGCCAACAGCTTTCTCCTACAGTGAATACAGCCGCCTTGTTTGCATTTCCGATGGAGGCGGAAATGTTGTAGGCCCGTGTGCTCAGATTTGGGTGCACGTTAAAGAACCCCAGGTGGTCGAAATTTCCGGAGCCCTCCACTACGGCGTCTCTCATAATCATATGGTGGTTTTGTGACGTTAAACACCACAAATTGATCGAACAGCCACCTTGTTATTGGTTGATTGCTTATTCCTCAAATATTTGAGCTCACCAACTACGAGAAAGCGTCCGCGAATCGGGGCACTTCGTGTATACTTGGCGGTGAGTTAAAAGGGAGGAGGATGTGACCGGCTAGTTGTTCCTCATTTATCTGCTGAAGGATGAATTGAGGGGTGTTCCTCTTTGCCCCTATATCGTAGATCACGGTTGTAATCACGAGGTCATTATACTGGCGCGGCGGATTAGGAAGCCAGCAACTGTTTAGTGGTTCCGGTACTATCGCAGCGTACTCTAAAGCACGTCGGCCCATGCCCAAGTGTTGGCGATCGAATAGTCGAGTGGCCAGTCGTGGACCCTTCGGCGTCATGTACAAGCGGTGAATTTGTCGCAGCGAACCGGTCTTGGCTCTGAGCGAGAAGGGTGTCCGACTGGCCTACGCCAGCGTGGGGCTGATTGGCGACGTTTGCAGGAAGCCGAAAGGCGGCGAACGACGCCGCTGTGATCGGCGTCGAGCACGGCCCGTTGCACCAGTCTCGGCGTGACAAATGGTATTGCGTAGAGTGCCTTCGCCGAGGCTATCGCGTTGTACAGCCGGAGTGCGATGTCGGGTGAGCATCCTTTGCCACCGGCGACAATGGAGGAAGCCATGCCGGCGATTCTTCGCGAGCTTTTGTGAATGTCCGCGAGCGTCGGCTTCCAGCTGAGTCGTTTGTCTATCATACCGAGGTAACGTACTCTCCGCTTCCACGGGAGCTGCTGTTCAGGAAGAAGAAGGTTTGGTGAAAAAACAACAGCATAAAAAACGAGAGAACAGACGAAGAAATACACATACAGAGCGCTGACTTACATCAGAAACTTTATTCTTCAAACCACGCATATATACATATGCAGTGGAACGAAGAAAGAAGAAGCAAAGGTGATAGTCGAAGAAAAGCCATAAAATCATTCTCATAGCTCGTGCGATTTACCAGATAAAAAGACAACTTCCTTTTCTGAGGGGCAACCGAAGGCCTACTCAAGCATGCGTCCCCCAGTCTAGCAACATCCAAGGCCTCCAGTATTTCACGCGTAAGCTGGTCCCGATGACGTTTGATAACCGCACATGACTGAAAATCAGGGGTACACCCACAATCTCGGCAATGAATGCCTAGGTGGCCACACACCGTCGAGGAGACGCTGTCTCCTCGACGCGCTGTTTGTTTTTTCACTGTGTCGTACCAACACGCCCAAGCAACCACTTTAGAAGTGTTGGCACGTTGCTACGCCCCGATGGGCTCGAGTGCACGAGAAGTGCCTCGGTTTTGGTGGCAGAGAGCTCGCGACTAACCAAGTTTGGTATAGTTTTGTATACCAAGCTTGGTATATGTATAGCTGGCAAAACGACCACAAGCGCACTATGAGCGTGGCGTGTAGTCATGCTTTACATGACATACATTATTTCCAAGTTAGGGTCTGTCACTTATGTTCGCCGTGCAGTCATGTCATACCATACCAGTTTTGCAACATATCATGTGAACGAAACCACCACAAGAGCAGCAAGACTATTAAATGTAGATCATGGCATTCATGACATACATGTCATGATTTTCATGTTATGACTAGTCCCCTTATGCTCATCATGCAGTCATGTTGTATCACACCAATTTAGGTACCGATGCCATTATCTAAACGGCCAGGAGAGCTAAATGTATTAGGGGCCTAGATAGATAGATAGATAGATAGATAGATAGATAGATAGATAGATAGATAGATAGATAGATAGATAGATAGATAGATAGATAGATAGATAGCTAGATAGATAGATAGATAGATATAGATAGTAAGATAGATAAGATAGATAGATAGATAGTAGATAGATAGATAGTAGATAGATAGATAGATAGATAGATAGATAGATAGATAGATAGATAGATAGATAGATAGATAGATAGATAGATAGATAGATAGATAGATAGATAGATAGATAGATAGATAGATAGATAGATAGATAGATAGATAGATAGATAGATAGATAGATAGATAGATAGATAGATAGATACGCTCAAGTCACTGAAGCTCGCTAAGAAATGCTTCGCATTTAAAAATCACATCCACGAATTACGTCCTTTGGGCATTACTCAAGAACAGCAAACAAAACAGGTGTGTGGATATCGGCAATAGTGAACCGTGCTATGCGCATTCCAATGATGGCAGGACTTCTATCGGTGACACGAATAATACCAGAAGCAGCCGGAGTCAATACTTATTTAGGCGGTGGCGAAGTCGAGTACCCCTCACGTAAATATGTGCCCCAGTATCAACAAGCCCAGAAACTGTCATGCCATCAACGTCGACGTCAATCAAAT